GCTGGGGACCCCCGCTTTCCCTGGAGAAGTTCAGGAAAAGAGGAGCCCCAGGGGAGGGGGCGGCTGCCCAAAGGATACAGCCAGCCAGGGAAAAAGCCAGAATGTAGATGCATAAAATAATAATTGCTTCCTCTAAAAAAAGAAAAAAAAAAATCCTTCCTTTTGGCTTGAAGGAAATGCAAAATATCCCTTGCTGTTGAAGATGTTATGACAAGTGCATGTGTATTTAGTGTTTATGTGTGCGGGTGTTGCGGGGCTGGGGGCGGTGGGAAAAAAAGCTCTTGATGGGGGTGAAAAATCGCCGCCGGCGGGGCCGGGCCTCAGTTTCCCCACCTGTATCCTCGGTTCCAGCCGTCCCCCCGGGTGTTTTCCGCTCTCGTGGCGCTTGTGGTGTTCGTGTGGGGGAGCGGGGTTGGCTCCGCGCAGCCTCGAGGAAGCTCCCGGTGAGCTCGGCAGGGGGCGATGCCAGGGGGCTGGAGCGCTCCCGGCTCCGGGATACGGGGCCCGAGGCGGCTTCCGAGGCCGGAGCATCCCGCGGGCGCCGGGTCGCGCTCCCTGCTCCTGGCCGTGTTTGGGTTGGACTCCGGCGCCTTCGGCAGCGCCGCTTCCTCCTGGCCTCAGCCGGGCAGCTCGGCCCGCACGGATACTCGGGCTCCCTATGGATGCGCCAGGCTCCGAGAGGTCCCTCTTGCCCCTAGCAGTGGCAGTGCCGCTTCCTTGCCAGGCCGAGCGGGTCCCTCCATCCCGGGGCATCGCGTGGAGGATCCCGGTTGGTTTTGGCCCTTCTGCCGGCTCTCCCGGCTCATCTCCGGCCTTGCGGCGCTTTTCCCCAGCATCTTTCGGGATCGTCGCCCCGCGCCCCTTCTTGAGCGCCCTCTTATCCGGGTGTCCCATCCCACCGTGGCCTCCGGCTTTGGCTCCCCTTCGCTGCTCCATCCTTGCTTCTGCTCTGCGCTCCAGGAAGGGCGGCCGCAGGAATTCCGGGCATACGGAGAATCCCACTTCTCCGTGCAGGACGCCGGCACGGGCAGCATCCTCCGCGCGCTTGGCCTGCGCCTGTCCGTGCTCCGGGATGGGGGTGTCTCCCAGCGCCGGCTCCTCCGGCTCTCGCTGGGAGAGGAAGCGGGAATGAGAAACCCCGGCCCGCGGCGCCTCGGGAGGCGGAAGCGCGGGCTGTAATTGGTTCCATCTTGGGTGAATTCTTCTGGCACGAGATCCGCGAGCGGCTCCTCTCGGAGCGAGCGCCGCAGGGGCACTTCGGAACCCGCCCGCGCCAGCTTTCCTGGCATCGCCACCGCTTCCGTGAAGAAAACCTGGAAAACGGGGCTGGGGGATAGAGGCAGGGAGGAAGAGGGGGTAGAAGAGGGTCACCCCGCGCCGAACGGTCCCTGCAGCTCCAAGTGGGACTTTTCCTTGCGGGAAGGCCGCCCGGGCACAGCGAGCTGGTGATCCGCTCGCTTCAGTGCTGCTCTGTGCCCGCCGGCTCCGGAGCGGGCTTTGATTCCGCCTCCCGGCAGCGCGGCCCTCGCTTTCTCTTGGAAACGCCGGCCGGGTCCGCGGCGCTTCCCGTGGCGAGAGGGGCTCTCCGCGCCGCCGGGAGGGGGCCTCGCTCGCCGCCCGTCCCAGGGCGCGCGCGGAATCACTCCCTCCTCCTTCCCCTCGCCGCGGCGGTGCCGGGCCGCGTCCGTGAAAAGAATCTCTTGTTTCTTTTTATTGCAGCGAAGGCGAGACAGAGAGGGCTGCCCCAGTCGAGGCGCTCCCTAGAGCACTGTAGCTTGCCTTAGCGGCACTTGGGTAGGAAGTTGGAAGGCTAGTGAGCTCCGGGCCCGGCGCTCGCGCCCACCACCTACCTCCATCGCTCTTGAGCCGCCCAGCCGCGTC